CCCTGGGGCCCCCAGTCTGGCACTGTCTGGCGTTCACGCCTGAAAGCAGGTGTCTCCTGCATTCTGCCGGGGTGATGGTTCCCTCCCACCGGAGGGCCGGTCTGGTACCAGCGAATCCGTAATGTCTGTAAACGGAAGTCACGCGTCCACTTCGTGCCGGAGAGGAAATTGCTCCGTATCCACCCACTGCCCCTACGCGCCCTGGCCCCACGGCCCAGAGACGCCTCCGCCTGGGCTCCCCGTGCGCGTCCGTCCTGGCCCCCTCGTACTCTGTCCGCCCCTTCCTGCGGCCTCCCCTCCACGCCAGCTTCCCCGGCGCCCCCCTCTTCTCTCTCCTGCTGGTGGCTCCCAGCACTGTGGCTCCTGACCCCACGTCCACGGTCCTGTGTGTCCCTTCGGTTCCCATCTTCACTGCTCTCTCACCACCCCGCTGCCCAAAGCAGGACCCCACACTCACTGCTGAGCGGCACGGCCCCCAAGCCTTGATTCCGAAGCACGCTTCCAGATGGATCCTTCTAGGCCCCCCTGTTAGTAGTCTTAACCGCAACACCGTGAAGGAGGTGAGATGGGCGGTTTCCAGGCTGTGGTCCCTGCCTGCCGGTTTCCCTCGGGGAGGCGGGGAGCGTTCAGGAGACCCTGGGTCCCCGCAGAGGTCAGCGGCTGGGCAGAGAGCCCTGGCTACAGACACTCTGATAGAGGCCTGACCGTGGGGGCAACGGGCTGCCCCTGCCCGCCAGGCCCAGGAGCTGTGGTGCTGTGACGGCAGCTGGCTTGGTGGGGTGGCTGGGGCAGGGCCTGGGGACTGGGACGGGAGGGCCGAGTCCACGTGGGAAGCTTCCGCTGAGCCCGGGGAGGCCAACTGCAGGCAGCAGCCCACAGAGGCCGAGACCCCTTGGCTGGGGCCACCTGCCAGGCCCTCCTCCGCCACTGCCCTCAGGACCCCTGGATGGACGCGTGTCCGGAAGCCTGGAGTCCCTGAGTGAAGACCGTCAGGGCAGGAACCCTGAGCCTGGGGTGCCCCTCAGAGCAGGGGCAGTTCCAGCAGGATGTGGCGGGGCAGGGGAGCCTCTCCAGGGGAGCCTCGAGTCTTACCTCCTCTCCTGCTGCTGGACACCCACCACCCCCGTTGCCGGGGAGGCGGCGGGGAGCTCAGAGGCGGGCGTTGCCTCCCTGAGCCAAGGCCCAGGATCTTAATGTCTGTTTCCGTCGTTTGCGGACCTTGCCGGTGGCTTGCTGCACAAACCGCCCGCGAGGGCTGGGGCTGCCCGGGGCACACTGCCGGCCTCTCAGAGCCCCGTGTCCGCCTCTGCCAAGCGGGGAGGTGACAGGGTCCCTGCGGGCTGAGGGCCGCCCCGGAGCTGCCCAGGCTGCTTTCGGCTCGGCCTTGGCCTGACACCTGTAGGACAGCGTGAGGCTGCAGTGTCCCGTAATTACGGTCGCTGTGTGCAAACTGCATCATATTCGGCTCCCCCCACGCACGAGGCTCCTGTCGCCACTGAGCTCCCCCTCCCCACGCGTCACGTGGCCAGAATCTCCTCCCCCCCGCCCCCCATCTGTGGATCTGCCAGGCCAGTCCCTGTGGGGGCGATTTGGGTTGTTTCCAGTTTTCCTGGTTATAAATAGCACCTCTGTTCATGTCTTTATTACAAATCCTTCTTTCCTCTGAAACCCTGAATAACTGAGCACCCCCCCACACCCGCCCGGGTGCCTAGGACTCAGCGAGCAAGCGCAGCTCCCTGGCCCTTCCCTCCCGCGCTGTGCGGGCCCCTCGTGGTGCTGGACCGAGGTGGGGGGCCAGGAGTGCAGGCTCTTCCAGGTTCATGGGCATACGTGACCCTGAATCAACAGTGAAGGAGAAGCACCCAGGGTCTGCTGACGTTGCACTCGTCCATGTTCAGGAGAAGGTCACGGCACACCTGGGCAGAGGCCGGGCTCCCTCCTCACACCTGTGGGCTGTCCGTGCTCACCTCCCTCAACCACGCTCTGCACTCCTTACAAATATAAGTGAAGACATTCTTGTTGTGCAAACGTCACGGCTTCTACATTCTTCTACGGCATTTTACTTTTTTTGAGTCAATATGAGTATTTGTATTTTCCTAGAAAAATTTCCATTTCAACTATGTTTTTTCCCCCACTTATTGGCAAAATGCTGTGCATACTGTAGTTTTATAACCTTCATCTCTTTGTTTTGCTTTTGCCCCCCTTTTCATACCTACTTTGGGGGCTTATTTTTGTTACTAACCAGACTTGTCCAAGATCTGTCTATTTTACTGTTTAAAAAAATTTTTTCAGGGGCTCCTGGCCGGTTCACTCGGAGGAACGCGCGACTCTTGACCTCGGGGCCGTAAGTTCAAGCCCCACGTTGGGGGTAGAGATGAGTTAAAAAGAGAAAATCTTAAAAGAAAAATTTTTCCCCCAAAGATCTAGCTTTTGGTCTTACCAGTTAGCTGTGCTATTGGTTGTTTTTCATTTCACTAATTTCTGTTTGGTTTTATGAAACTCCTCCCTTTACCCTTGGGGTTATTTTGTTATATTTTCCCAGTTTCTTCAGCTGTAAACCTTGGTTTATTTTCAGTCTTGCTTGTTTGCTAGTAAGTCGCCCTGAGCGGGGCGCGGCTGCGTCCCCATCATGCATGGCGCCTGGTGGTCTCGCTTGGGCCCGTTCCTAAGTTACACTTTGATAGTTTCCAAAGTTTGAAATTCAAATTTCCTGTGGGGTGTATTTATTTGGCTTCCTTTGGTTATTTATTTTTTATTTCAGTGCACGACTGACACTAATGCCTGCTTTTGTAGGATTTTGTGAGATGTCCTTTGTCTCGTAATGCCGGGCCAAGCGCGGAGCCTCCTCCGCGAGACTGTGGGGAGGGGTCTCCTCCGCAGGGGACCCCAGCACCGATGCAACTGGCCTGGAAATACACCTACACACAAACGCACCCGCTGTCCCCCGGCGGCGTGCTGGGCTTTTGACAAACGTATCCACCTCGAAAACACAGTGCATTTCTCCCATCCCAGGAGCTTCCCCTGGGCGCTCCGAGTCCATCCCAGCACAGCCTGAGCCCCTTGTGGGCACAGCCACTGTGCCGATTTCGGCAGCCTCCGCTTATCCCGGAATTACGTGGAACGCGATACTGCAGTGTGGTGTTTGTGTCTGGCTCCTTCCGAAGACTCACGTGCCGCTGTGTGAGCCAGGAGTCCTTCTTTCTCACGTACGTACACCGATTTGTTGAGCCACGCACCTGTTTATGGGCGCTTACCTCACTTCTGGTTGTAGCTACTCTGAACAGAGCTCTATCACATTTTTGTACAAATTTCTTTCTTTCTTTTTTTTTTTTAGATTTATGTTTTTACTTCTTTTGGGTAAATACCTAAGAGAGGAATTAGTGGGTCGCGGGGAAGGTATTCGTTTAGTTTTAGAAGAAACTAGCAAATGGTTCTCCAGAGAGGCTGTCCCATATTGATGCACGTTTTCTTTATCGTGTGTTGCATCTGTCCACATTGGTAAATCCTGACAATGCAGAGTCTCCTAACTGGGGTCAGGGTCAGAGCCCAGCCAGCTGTGCCCAGGGGTGCCACCTCTGTCGGTCTCATAAAAGCCCCAGGCCGATCCGCACAGGGAACCCCAGGCCTGCAGCCCAAGCCCACAAAGCTTGAGGGTGGATGGTGAGCAGGTGGGCACGGTGCGGGGGGTGCCTGACTCATGCCTGGAGGCAGTTCCCACGACAAGTCCCTGGTGTTCATGGTGAGGGAAACAGCAGCTGGGGGTGCGTCCCTGGCCCCTCCTGGCCACTGGGGACACCCCTGCTATGCTGCCCGTCTCTGCTGGCCTGAGTGGCCCCGCTTGTTGGGGATACCTGTGCAAGCTGGACACCGGGTCGGGGAACTGGGCTGGGACGATCCCTGGCCTTCTGGGGCCCAGGGCCTGAGGCATTTCTAGGAGGCTGGCAGGGACACCAACTAGGACGAAATTCGACAGGAAGGGCCCCTTGCTGGGGGCCAGCCAGAGCCCTGAGAGGGGTGCCAGGAAGCCAGCAGGAGCAGGGCCACCGCCTGGCCTAGGAGTGGACTCAGTAGGAGTTTGGGGAGTGACGCCCTCTGCCCAGAGAGTGGGCATCTTCCCGACACACAGTGCCACCCACCTTGTGCTCGGATGCCTTGTGAGACAGGAGGAGATCTGGAGGCTCTGTTCTCCAGGTCTTGGGCAGAACTTTGTGCAGGCCCAAGGAAATCGCCCATGTCCTGCCGGCTTACTGGCTAGAACTTTGTTTCTTTGCTTGTCAGTCGCTCAGATGGCTCACACCCCCTTGCAGGACTCAGGTGCTGAGCAGAAGATGCAGACGGACAAACGCCAGGGTGTGGGGTACCTTTGCAGCCCCCTCTTCTTCACCTTCTTCATTCCTGGTTCCAGCCACAGGGCCTTTGCTCAGCTGCTGCTTCTGCCTGCAATGCCCTTTGCCCTCACCCCTTCTCTGTCACTCAGATCTGAGCTGAAATGTCACCTCCTCAGAGAGGTCCACCCCCCGGCCCTGAGCACGCGCTCTGAAGTTGCCACCCTGTCAGAATCTAGCAAACCACTTTGTTTTAAATCTACATATGACTACTCAGTGGTTTCTGATTTGCGTCTTGTTGGTCTTGGGCGTAAGCCCTGCAAAGGCAGCAACCTTGTCCACCTCATTCCCTGGTGTGACCCAGTGCCTGGGCAGAGCCGGGCACGGAGTTGGCACATGGTGGCCACCAACAAGACCAGTGGTCACCCATGAGCAGAGCACAGTGGTTAAAGCACCAGCTATAAAGTCATGGGGATCTGAATGGCAATACTGGTCTTGCCACAGACCGGCTGTGTCACCTGAGCCCTGTTACAGAGTCCTTTTGTGCCTCAGTTTCCTCACTTGTAAAAGGAGGTTAAATGATAAGTGTATCTTGCTATGAGGTTTATATGAAGTGGTGGGTGTTGAAACTTTAGAAGTTTCCAGCATGTAGCAGGTGCATTGTAAATTGTAGCTATGGTCTTCATCATCCCCATCATCACCATCACCACCATCGACATCATCACCATCGTCACTATCATCGCCATCATCCCCATCACCATCATCACTATCACCATCACCACCATCATCATCATCATCATCACCACCATCATCATCACCTTCATCACCATCATCATCACCATCACCATCATCATCATCACCATCATCACCATCATCACCATCACCATCATCATCATCACCATCATCACCTTCATCACCATCACCATCACCACCATCATCACCATCACCATCATCACCATCGTCACTATCATCGCCATCATCCCCATCACCATCATCACTATCACCATCACCACCATCATCATCATCATCATCCCCATCATCATCATCACCACCATCGCCATCATCACCATCACCATCATCATCATCACCACCATCATCATCACCTTCATCACCATCATCATCACCATCACCATCATCATCATCACCATCATCACCATCATCCCCATCACCATCATCACTATCACCATCACCACCATCATCATCATCATCATCACCATCACCACCATCATCATCACGATCATCACCATCACCATCACCATCATCACCACCATCATCACCACCATCTCCATCATCATCATCACCATTATCATCACCATCACCACCATCATCATCACCACCATCATCATCACGATCATCATCACCACCGCCATCACCACCATCTCCATCATCACCATCATCATCATCATCATCACCACCATCTCCATCATCACCATCATCATCACCATCACCACCATCTCCATCATCACCATCACCATTATCATCACCATCACCATCATCACCATCATCATCACGATCATCATCATCATCATCACCATCATCACCATCACCACCATCTCCATCACCACCATCATCATCACCATTATCATCACCATCACCACCATCATCATCACCATCACCACCATCATCATCACCTTCATCACCATCACCACCATCATCCCTCCACATACCTGCCATAGCGTCTTGCTGCCCAGTCAAGGGCCAGGTGATTGGAGACTGATGGATTAGGGTCTTCCTGTTCTGGGAAACCACAGCCTGCTCTTCCAGGCAGATGGCCGGGCCTGGGAGAGGTGGTGGCAGTGACATCGGTTCCTGGAGGTGAGGGGGACAGGGAAGGCTGTGTCTTTCCTTGGGAAAATGAGCCCCACGTGCAGCACTTTTGGCTCTGCAGATGTGATGCTTGTTGCCATGGTGACTGTCCTAACAATAACCTCCCAGAACTGATATTCCCCACACCCGCCCCAGCTGCCACCTGGGAGGGAGAGCCCTCCTCGCCGATGAAACCAGCTAGAGAGGATAAGGTGGGAGGCAGAGATGATGAGGGGGTGCGGGTGGAAGAGGGCCCTTCCTGAAGGAGGGCTGGGGGGACGGAGCCAGATGACAGGGCTTCTGGGGCCTGGGACTCCAGAAGGAGTCATGGCTGGCAGCTCTTCTCCCTTCCAGCTTTCTACTCTGCTGGGGAGGAGCTCTCTGAGTCTGGAGGCGGAGAGTAGGTAGTTCTGCGAGTGGGGTGGAGGGTTGGGCTCTGTAGGAAGGGGTCGTCTGGGTCCCTTCAGTAGCTCAACCATTCCCCCCTGTGGTGCCCTGATCAGCCTGCCCTTCCTGCCTTCCTCTGCATCCTTCCACATCACTCCTTGAACATTCCAGCCCAGATGAGGGGCTACTTGGGGGAACCCCAGTTCCTGACAGGAGTAGAACAGGGGCCTTAAACCACACCCCTTTAGTGATCCTGACTTCTTGGGGAAACTTGGGTCTCGGGCAGCCTCCCCAACCAGAGAAAAGAGGGACTTTAACGCAGACCACCCAGAATGCTGCTGTGTCCTTGCCCGGGGCTGCAGGACGTGTGCGTGTGTGCATGTGAGTGTGTATTCTGTGTGTGCATGCGTGCATGTGTGTGAAAATAAACAAGACAAGGGAGGGTCTCTGGGCAGGGGGGGTTTGAGTCCCAGCCACTTCTTGGCTGTGTGACTTCACCTTTGTCTCCCCGCTGTCCCATCTAGAGAAATGGGGACAATATGGTATATGCCTTGTGGGGTTGAGAATTAAATGAGAGAGTACGTGTAAAATGCACATAAGCAAATCAGTGTCAGCTGTCACCATGATTTTGATATCACTTCACCCTGGCCTGGACTCGTGCTAGCAGGAGTGTGTGTGACCTCGGCAGCACAAAGGGTCTAGCGGCAGCCAGGGGAGAGGCCGAATTGCCGAGGGGTGCAATTCTGTTTTGTTTGTTTTGCTAATTGTATTCTATTGCGAGGGACTGTCTCCTTCTCCGGGCATGCGGGCGAGGTTGGACACCCACAGCGCCTGCCTTCCCAAGAGAGGTGGACATCTGCCCATTAGGAGGTGCCCGGGTCCTGGCTTGAGGCATGAAAGTGGTCTCCCCTCTGGCCTGGCACCGCTGAGGTCAAGGTCAGGCCCTCCTTCCCCCGGGTGCCCCCTGCTCCAAGCCAGAGTAGTCCTCAGCCTCTGGCCACCTCCCGGTGCCCGTCGGTTCTGCAAAACCACCCAGAACGAGGACTGGTTACCACCAGGTCTGCTCCTCTGTCTGACAGCCGCGTGCCCCAGGCCCCCAGGTTGGGGAGGCCCTGGCTGCCCCACCCCAGAGTCCCTTCATCTGATCTTTTACTCAGGAAGCGCTTACTGTGGTTTCTGGGGTGAGCCCCAGACCCAGGTGAGCGAGATGCGCAGGACAGGCCCGCACCCTATGCCTGGGGAGCTCTCAGTACAGCAAGTAGCTCAGATCAGGGCGGCGGCACGACCTAGATCGAGAGCTGGCTGCTGGAAACTTCTGTGCTCAGGGCCTGCCCAGCACAGACCCCGGCTCTGTCCCCTCAGAAGAGTGTGGGAGTCCTCTGCTGGCTCTGAAGTCCCCGTTCTAGACAGCAGCCTGGGTGTGGCCCTAGGGGAAGGCTCTTTTGTCGGAAATGGGGTCAGTCCAGCCTCTCTTGCCCCTCCCTCCTGCTCTCTCCGCCTCCTCTGTTCCAGGGTCACTTTCAGGAAGGACCCTCTTCTAGGCCAGAGCAGGGCCAGGCAGGTGGACTAGGCCTGGGAGGGGAGCATGTGTGCCCCTAACTGGGCACAGTGCAGTGCACTCTCACGACTCCTGACTTACTGCCCAAGCGGCCCTATTCCCCTGACTCAAGGGCCCTCTGCCTTCCCTCCTCCACTGGGACACCCCAGCGGCCCATCTCCAGGGATCCAGCGAGAGGGCCCTGGAATCACGGCGAGCAGGCAGCCCCCACCCTCTCGTCCTCCTACCCGCTGTCCCCAGTGTGTATGCCTGGTCTGGAAGGCCCCCGGGCAGCTCTGCCGGGGGTGGGGGGGCTTGGGGGGGACAAGGCTGTGCGGTGTGTGGAGAGCTGGAGACAGGACAGGAGGGTGGCGGCAGCATCTCCTCCTGGGGGTGTGAGGAATGAGTCCTGTGGAGGGTGACACACGTGCCCCATCCACCCATGGGCGCCTGAGTCCCCTCCTCCGGTGGTCGCGAGGTGGACACTCAGGGAAGAGAGGGGGATCGGGGCTCATTGTGTGCAGTCCCCTGTGTGTGTTCAAGGGGGTCTCCAGCAGGGAACAGAGAAATTGACTTAGGTGGCTTGTGGTGTTTGTGTTTGTGTGCGTGTGCGTGCGCGCGCAGGCACCTGCGCAGGTCGGGGCGCAGCGTGTGCAGGGCGAGGACCTGGGTGCAGGGCACGTGTGCGGGCGCGGGTGCGGGAGTGGGGCAGGTGATGTGCCCAGTGTGTGTGTTGGTGCAGGGTGCGGGTGCGTGTGCATGTGCGGGGGCAAGGTAGGGGTGCGGGAGCCGTGCGGGTGCGTGTGCAGGGCGCGGGAGCTGCGCGGGTGTGGGGCGCGTGC